CAACCCCGATGGCAAACACCGGGGGGGGCGGGTTTGGGGGGGGCATACTCAGGTTGTGCATGACTTAGCGGCTAGACCATGGACCTAGCATGGTTTCCACAGGATTAGCCACCGATGGCTATTGTTCATTCCAAACGTAAGGTTGCGGGTCAGCGCACCCCCGTGTGGTCGTTTTTCAACATTCTCGCCATTTAATTTTCATCGCACCCCTGTGTTTTGACTCCGGACCGTGCGATGACTCATACGGAAATTGAATCAAATCATTTTGTTTCGATACATAACGCACACCCCTGTGCGATGACTCCAGTATGTGCGGTCCTGAGTAAACCCTGAAGGCGATATTATCAAGAACTTTCAACGCACATCCCTGTGCGATGACTCCGGTATGTGCGGTACTTGAAAGAAACAACTTTGCAGACGCACGGACACCTCAGTTGCGCTGCGGTTGCATGCTCCACACGCAACGTACACACACACGCGCGCGTCAGCCAACAGCAGTCAGCCCGATGGATTCTAGGTTTTCGAGAAAGCACACATACATACACACACATAACAATGGCGTGGAAGAGAGCAAGAGCTTCGAGCCAGATGATCTTCCCCACCACAAACAGACGCAGGGCTAGAGGCAAAATGTCGAGAGGTTACTGTGAAATCGACCATGTGAACTAAAGTTGGAAGGAAGGAGGATGACGCTAAACGCACTCCAAAACGGAATCGAGTGCAAGGTAGCAGCTTTCTTCGTAGACGTGCGCAGTTTTCTTCTGTTGCTACCGATCCGGAAAATAGGTTGGTCTCTCCATGCCGCCCCCCCACGGGGTCCCACTTAACCACAATTAGGAGTGTTTTGTGTTTTCAACCGCACTGAGACTAACGTCTTTTCATTCGTCAGCCGCTTAGCGCGGTCGATGCCAATAAAAAAAGCACACACACACACACAAAAAAAAGCGACGAAATATAACGCGGCGATAAACGAAATGCCGCGGGCGGAAAACATGGGTATTTGCCCGCCGTCGCGTTGTGGATTCACGCAACCCACAATCGCGTGGCAATCATGCCGAAGGTTTCAAGTACGGGGGGTACCGCGATCTCAGGGGCTAGTGGCGACGGCCCTTCCTCTGCGGACGCGGTAGCTGTCCCTGCGGACCCGTTGGCAGCAGGAGAGGTCATCGACGAGATGCTTGCGGCAAACGACGCCACACCATCACACTGCAAACCTCCACGTGTGGTATGCGACGATGACCTACTACCTACCCATACAGCGGAGCTACATGCTAGCACTGGCATGGTTGGAGGGGTGAAAGTTGCCATGGCCAGCACGGGCATGGTTGCAGGGGTAAAAGTTGCCCCGAAATCGCTGGCACTCAACTACTGCCCTACTGTAGGTTACGAGTCATCGCACCCCTGTGCGGTAACTCCCGCCTCTGAATTAAATAATTATGCCATTTAATTTTCATCGCACCCCTGTGCCACACGACTCCGGACCGTGGGGAAAATCCGGACCGTGCGCTGACCCGCAACCTTAGGGTACATTGTCAAATGTGGTACAAAATGGTTTTCCTTCCCAGTTTATCCTATCGATATCCTTTCCCGCCTCAGCTCACCTACTCTGCCCCAGAAGCTACCGTCTTCGCGTCGGGGGGGGGGATGTACTCATAGTCGTGCATGCCGTAGTCGTTAGACCATTGACCTCGCATCCCTACAAAGCCGGGACGGAGCACGCCGGGTTCTCACCGGACCAGGCTCTCACATCACCAAGCGCGAAGCGCCGTGAGATATTCGGCGAGTCGCATGAAGGGTGCGCTGCATCCTGCTAAGGGTTTTCGGCATCTTGTGCTTACTTCCTTGCCTACGGATGACAGCTGTGGGATCTAAGCTATTAGTCTACTTCTGTGTCCCCAAATTTATTTGAGCCTGTTTTTTTCTCAACGGCAGCTCCGGTACCTTCCACGCCCACTTTGGATCTTCGGCGAAGATAGCCAGATCCGACACAGGAGGAGCTCCGGCCCCGTTGGCAGGAGTCACCCGTAGCACTGCCAAAGGAAGTTCTGGATACTGCTCATTTTCAACGTCGAAGTTCACGGATACGTTTGGAGAGTGTAGTCGCGTGATAGCGAGCCCTCGCAGTAGTAAGAACGACGACACACACAGGAGCCGTTTGAGGGCGTGCCGAAATGCCGCTCTCGATGTCATCATCTTGGTTGCCTCTCGCTTATTACGTAGATGCAACGCAAGTGTGAGTTCTTGAACTGTTGTTGGTCCGAGGCTCCATTCGTCCGCTTCATGTATCCCAGGGAGTGATATGTGCTGTGAATGAGTATTTTACTGCTGAGGGCAGTGGCTGCATCCTGTGCCGGCACGCTGGCACCGTGCTATCTGACATTTTTTTTTCCGATGAGCTCATTGGCTGACGACCACACAGCACAGAATTAGGGGTGCCAATCGGGCCGATTTTGGCGGCAAAAAAGTGAACGGTCTATTCGAGGATTTTGGGAAAAAAAGGGGGGGCACGCGGATTGTTGGTTCTCAGCTCAGCTCTTGAAATAACATCTGGAGACAGGTCGTCTACACGTGACTGCGGGTTCGTTTTCTACTGACGTTCAAAGGGCGGGCGAACAACACAGAACACCCTTATATGAAATTCGGTTTGAAGGCTCATGCTCGTGGCCGCGTTTGGTGGTCGTAGAACAGCGGATCCGCAGCGCACAGCCTCGGGTTTTCAGCGACACAACGCAAGAAACCGAACTAGAATCGCACAAACTACCAGCGAGAACCGATGTCTGAAAATGGCCAGTCAAGCACGCCAAGCACCGCGGTCGAGGTCCCCAAAAAACGCAAACGCTCGGCCTTTCGTCGCGGGAGGAAAAAATCGATTTCGTCGCAACCTCACGAAAAACGAACGCAAATACATAGAGCGGGAGGGGCGGACCTTCGGCGACGCGGCCGGAGCAGCGCACACACAGCGCGCGGTCGAAAGGGGCGGTGTTGCCGTCGCGCAGAAAGCGCTGGTAGAAAAGGAGCCGGAGTTGATCGAAAGTAGACAGCGCGAGGCGGCGAGCCCCGCTGGGTGCAGCATTGCTCAGGAGCGTTCTATGTGATTTGATTGGCTCGAGCGATTTTCCATCTGGAAGATCCAGGTCACTTTTTGAAATTTTTTCCAATAGGAAATTTGACCGATTGGCACCCTGTAGTGCTGCGGTCGACGATAGTGGGCGATAGGCACAGCAGTCCATCAGTACAACTACAGCAGAAGTCCAGTAGGTTAGTAGGCCAGTTTGGATCTTGGGCGTGGGCATCTCAAATATATTTCCCCTTTCAAGCAGCAAGGGTTCAGGTGCGCGTTTTTGGCTATGACGGCCATAGTGCTCTTGCAGAAAGAGGGACAGAGACAGAGACAGAGACAGAGAGGGTGACTATGATATGTAAAGCAACTAGCGGCCCAAGAGAGAGCGAGCCGAGACTTCAAGAGCGGGCCGAGTTACAGGACCGTGAGACATAGCACATAGCACCGTGTAGTAAGCACAAGCCTCCGACTTCGTACCTGCACCTGGGCGAATCTATATGCACACCATGGTCACCTTGCTTGTTGGACAAGACATGGGAGAACATCGTGTCATCAGCCATCATCTGGCACTGACGGTAGATTCTTTGGGTTATAGATATTATACCCGGTATATTTTAACATCACAATACCAACCGTAACTGAGGTTCGCGTCAATCCCCCAAAGTGCAAAATTCCACGTCAATCCATAGTAGATACAGTGGGTGGCCCGATATAGTGCCGGTTGAATAGTGCCGGTTGCCGGTAAAGTGCCGGTGTTTTCGGCTCGCACACACCGGAATATCAAGTCTTCCTGTACACTGAATAGTGCCGGTGCCCGGTATAGTGCCGCTTTGCTCTCTGAACGCATACCGGCGCTATAGAGGGCCCCCTACTGTACCCTAAATTATACTCTATTTATTGTATCGTGCGTCTTGCTCGTGTTCTGCCTGTGGGCTGTTGATACAATAGGTTAAAAATCTGGCTGGGAGTTCAAGCTTTCTTGTGGCAAATAAACTGTACCAAATCATCTTCCACGCGGGCACAGCAGTCAATCCAATGTCTTGTTGAGTAGAAGTCCCGCGAGCCATCACCTAGACTACAATCGCTTCGCTTTTTTTTTTTTTTCCAAATAATAACAAGGGCGATCGACGGCGACTATCGACGGAGCGACGGCAGCGCGATCGACGAAGGCGGCCCAAGGCCGCCCGATCGACCGACCGACTGACCCAACCCTACCCTACCCCACCCAAGCCTACCCAAACCTACACAACTATACACGACCCTACCCTACCCGACCCAACCCAACCCAACCCAACGGCGACGAACGACGAAGCGACGACGGCGCGATCGACGGCGGCGACCCAACCCCAACCCAACCCAAACCCAACCCAACCCAAACCAATCCAACCTAACCCAACCCAACCCAACCCAACCCAACCCAACCCAACCAAACCCAACCCAACCAAACCCAACCAAACCAAACCAAACTAAAACCAAACCCAACTCAAACCCCCGACCGAACCCAGCCCAACCCGACCCGGTCCAACCCGACTCAACCGCACCCAACCCAACTGATTCAACCCAACCGGACACGGTCGGTCGGGTAAAGACGAACCCATCAACACCAGAGCAAGAAAACAACCCCCCAAATCCGCCTGATCCTAGAGTGAAAACCGACTGCAACATGCAAGGCGGCACTTTTACCCAACACGCCCCAATCAAGACCTCTCCTAAATAATCACACGCCAACGCGCAAAACACTCCGCCACAAACATGCAGTAGATAGAAAAGTGGCGCACAGAATTCCTAACAATAACAATACTCCCGACGAATCCATCTCTAACAAAAGAGTCAAAGATAGATTGGCAACGAATCCATAGCGTCAGCTTTCGCTTTTGCTTACAATTTATTCCCTCAGAGGTACTGTAACTTAGTGGTGCTCGCTTTCCACTTCGTGTTTTCTGGTGCCCCATGGGCGAGAGGGCGCACACAATCGTATCGATCCACACCCTTCCACCTTGCTTGTCAGAACATCGCGGAAACGCGGAGGGTGGAATCTCACGACAACTATTATTATTGGCATTGAACCATTTGCTCGTTTCTTGCCAGGATCGATAGACGGTGCAGGTATGCTGCACACATCGCGTCATGTATCTTCATCTCGACAACATCGATGCTACAGGAAGCCTGATTTCTTCAAACAAAATGGGTTGTACTCGTTTCTGGCACCTCACACCTCCTCAACCCGCCCAAAAACGATCCATCAGGCATCGAAGCAACTGCTGTGTCCGGTGTTGGAGTGTAACCAACACAGTGCCAGCATCACAACCTCACACTACTCTGCATCACTCAACCTGTAGTGGTCAATGCCGAGAGATAGATATCCGCGTCGCATGAAATACTTTCGATAGTCGTTGTCCTCTTGCACGTCCCAAGCTCCATTGCCATTATCCTGTCCACATTGTAACCCGAGTTCAGAAAGTCGAGTCTCGCTTGCTCGCGGATAAGACCTGTGCTGCTGCTACTATACTTCAACAGCCGTAAACCATACGCATAACTAATGGGTGTTTTCTACACCAGGGGTTATGGCGATTATTCGCCTACCTATCAGATATATCGCATTTGTACTCTGAAGAACACACTACCCGGGTACTGCAGTATACCGCGACTTGAGTCATCGCGGCATTCCAAGAGAAACTATAGCCATATGCAATGCAGGTATCAACGAGTGTGGAGACCAACAGGTGTAAGAGAACCTTAGAACGACAGGTCATCTTTTGGATCTCCTTGCCGATCACGTTAACTCCCCGTTGATCGAAGTGAGACCCTCATCAGAACAAATACGGATCAAATTAGAGAGAGCAGCCAAACAGACTGGAATCCACATCTAACATGCGAAGAAACGAGAAAACGCACGAAAATATTATTTCAACGTAGCGCATCACGCCAGGAACAGTCATGGGAACGAACGCGAAAGTAACGGCGATCGTTACGCTTGGCGTAAGAAGGTTTAAATATTTATGAAGATGAACAACGTGATCTCTGCACGCACCACATCTGCTCACCGACCAGAAGCCGTGGTTTAAGACACGACCTCGGAGTACTGTTTGCGGTGCGTGCTCGAATACGGCAAGTGCTTCGAGGAGAACGAAGGCGCTGCATCTCGACCCCGCCCAGGAAAGTCTGCCCTACTCTGAATTGTCTGTGCACGTTGACAATTGTCCCCACAGATATCACCGACCCAGACGTAAACAGGACGCCCATCCATTACAAACGAAAAACACACTACATGTAATCTTGCACAACGAAGCCCTCTAGCCGAGTACAAGCGATCGACTGTTCCTCTCGCTGTAAAAGCGCAATCGAGCTCCATCTATCCCCTGGCGCAATGCGTATGCACCACGAACAACTGTACCAACGCCACCCACCTGTGCATGCGTATAGTGTTCTCCAGAGGCCATCACCACGCGTTCAAGCCTCCCCCCTGCATCCTCTTCACGGAAACGGCGCCACGCTGCCTCCCTAGGTGGGGATTCCAAGTCGTCGATTGCAAGCACATTCCAATCCCTAACGACAGTCACAATTGAGTTCACCGTGTCGATTGTTACACTTGCCAGCACACTACACACCTTCGACCTCTGGAAACCCTCAGCCACGAAGTCAACTTTTTCAGCCTCACCTCATGCCTCTCTCCAAGTGATACGAGCCATGTCGCCCGTAATGATATTCATATATTGCATCTGAAGGTCCTATGGTGGAGACTTCACCTGCTAGCCAACACCCGGAAGTTGACAAGGTCGGCGTAGGCACCGCCTTCGCTGTGATCGCCATCGACGAAAAGGATGTTGCATGCTTGAGGTTCTCTGCCAGCGGCATCTTCTGCCACCACGTATGCCGGGATGGTCACAGAAGAATCTCCGATTAGTACCTCCAACCGACCGAGAAACATAGGTTACATTGGAGGGGCTATTGCCGGAGTGAAGATCGAAACTCAAGTACCTGCCTCTTAGAGTTGACGTTTGCTACCGTCGCTGGTTGTCACAGAGACAAGGTTGGTTATTGGATCCTCGTGTATCAGGTTTGGGAGTTGGGGAGATGGTCAGGCAGGCTCTCTCGACCTGCAGAAGGGGGATACCACGGTTTTCACTATTACTCGTTAGGCTACTGTAGCTAGCTCACGGTGAAACAATAATATGCTAAAACGAGCATGTTGTACCTGCATGTAGTCGAGGGCGTGCTTCATGTATTGGTGTTCGCCCAAATCAAAGGCCAAGATCTTGGTCGAAGGGTGCGAGTGAAGCAGCCAGTTGAGGGAGCTGTGCCCAGCGTTAAAGCCCACCTTGATACCGAAAATCAGATCTAGGACGGGCAAGAGTGTAGGAGCCAAAAGGGGGAGGGATAAGCACAAGGGGGGGGGGGTGTACTCATAGTCGTGCATGCCGTAGTCGTTAGACCATTGACCTCGCATCCCTTCAACGCCGGGACGGAGCACGCCGGGTTCTCACCGGACCAGGCTCTCACATCACCAAGCGCGAAGCGCCGTGAGATATTCGGCGAGTCGCATGAAGGGTGCGCTGCATCCTGCTAAGGGTGTTCGGCATCTTGTGCTTACTTCCTTGCGTACGGATGACAGCTGCGTATGAATTAATTTATTTTCTGGTGCTTTCACTTCCAGAGACATAAGCACTGTCTAACTAACTGCCTTGAGGGTGCTTGACCAATGCAACACAACGTGGTGCGATCATCCCCCTTGCGCGGAGTGTGGTTTCTCGACCCCGCACAACATGATCTACTCGACCACCATTGTGGTTGCCGCCAATATATATATATATATATATAACAGAGGTAAAAAAAAAAACGGTAACCTGGTTGCCGAGTTCACGAAGTGAATTGGCTTGTTTTACAACGTCGTTGCCAAGCGACGAAAACCCAATCCCGATGGCAAACACCGAGGGGGGGGCACAAAGGGGGGTGTGGATTAAATGGAGTAACGAGCTTCGCACACCTCGTGCGTGTGTCTAGTGAGTATTAGGTGCTTGGTGATTCCGCAAAAGGACCACAAAAAAATCCATCCAACGTTTCTGCATCCCCGAGAGTTGGTCAACTTCCCTTTGGACATTCCCTCAGTGCCACCACGGCAAGCCGAGACACCACCCAGATCGAACCTCATCAAAAAGGAGGGTTCTTCATTCACCTCGCAAATCTTTTTCACGCGATCGCCGCCGTCCCGCCACAACGCTCCAAGGGCTTCGACTTTCTGCAGAAACCCACCCGTATGTCCCTCGAAGTTGTAGCTGGGGCATACGCTCCTCAAGTAGGCTATTAATGGTTGTGACATGATGTTGAATAGGTCCACCTGCGCAAGGAACGTGGTTCAGCAATCAGCACCAAACACAGATAGACTTGACAGAGCAACGCGAACAGTCGCATGGGTGGTACGAAGGATGTCCCGGTCTCGAACGTAGCAGAAAGTACACGGTCATGTTGCTCCTTCACAGCCTCAAGTGAATGATTGGTACCATATATTTTTTGACTGAACAACCGATGTCCTCAACACCTTGCGCATCCCTCCTTAAGCCCCTCGATGACGACTGGATACGTGTGAATAGGACACACTGAAGATCGCTCTCGCTCTGTGGGACTCCCGGCCCACTCATATATCTTACCACAGCCCCCCTTACCTTCCACGGTGCCACTCAACCCTGCCACATGGCGGACGGCGTTGACCGCCTCTCGCTGTGTTTGGTTGTCGATTTATCAGCGGCTCGTAAACTCATCGACACTCGAGCACAAATGTTGGTGCTATCGTGCATGTGGCCTCAGCTCGCGACCGACCCCGTTGGCCGTAGCCATCTACCTACGCCTTCGAAGAGTGTGAGCTGTGACTTACCCTCTTAGCCGTGATCGCGCTGGTGACCAAATCGACGCAGTCGTTAACGTTGACTAGGTATCCTTGGAACGGTCCGAAAGCCTTTGAACAAGTGCCGAACGCCGCCTGCACCAAAAGTGGGAACGCGAAACATTCCAAGGAACCATTTAACACCAAGAGTTAGTACAGGAGATTGAGGCACAGGACAAAAACCACCCTTTCATAGAGAAACAACTCGTAAATACTACGTACAACTCTGCGGCGACACGAGAAAAGCCTCCTAGCACGTCCTGACGTACCTCCCATACCTCTCCATCCGAGAGCCACCTGGGTACGGCCACAACCACGAAGGTCTCATCGGGGTCACTTTCGAGATAAAGCGTTACAGAAATCTCTTCCGGGGGCGAATCGAAAAGCGGATTCGAGACTTTCGAACCGTCGCTCTTGTGTTTGCCCTTGTTGTCACGACTTTCTCCTCCCGACGGTGCTACCCAAGGAGACGATGACAGAATATCCGCCAGGTGGCCCGTGTGGAAATATTCGACCATTGCAGAAGTCGCCAACACTTCCCATGCCGGCGCCTCCATATTCGATTCCAATCGTGGGGATGGCGCCGACGATCCCCTTTCCCCCTCGTTTGCATTGCCCTGGACGATCGGTTCTGGCGAAGAAGTGGTCGGGGGTGTTCGGAATATCAACGACAACTTAGGAAGAGAGAGCAGCAGCGACGAAGCTACTTGGAACTTTGAACCCAAGCCTCGGTGTGGAATATGTGGATCACGCAGGGAGATAGAAAGGTACTTAGGAATGGTACTCCTCGAAAGTATCGTGTGTGAGAGAGAGGGTCAAAACCTGTTCTTAACTGGTTGGGCTTTCCGTAGCCGTGCTGGTACCGGCGACACGCCAGCTCGCCGTGGATGTGGTGTGCACCGAACGCCTCTCGTGTGCAAACTCTGTCTACAGCCCTGGCGTCAACGCGCCATACGTCTTCGTTTTGGGCCCAGGCACTCCACCCCGCCGACGCCTTTGCTGGGTGCTCACTGCAGCGGGGATTTTGGTCGTAAGTTGGGATAATGGCCGTCTGCATGACCACAGCGGTTTCGCCGTCATTGTTGAAAACATCCGCTGTGTCAATGGGGATGGTGGAAGAGGTTGAGCCATCCACAACCGCACGAATGACGCATCGATCATAATCAGAAAGCGGTGGCTCCATCCCCTTATCCCCCCCCACCCTCCTGTATCCGCTTCCGCTGCTGCTGCTTCCGTCGTTGGTGGTGGCTGCTGCGAGCAGACTCGTCCTCAGCGCCGCTCCCAGGAAAACCTCGACCGCAAATTTCACCACTCCGCCGCTCACGCGCCCTTGTGGCATAGGGTGCTTCATATGCAGAAAAGGTGGCGTTATGCCCATGCCACTGCGTTCGTGTCCACCGCCGAGTAGGGCGAGGAGACTCTCAATCCGCCCGGCAGAAGGCATCGCCGACGAAGACACCGATGATAAAGCTTGCCTGTTTGTGGCGAAAATGCTGTCATTTGTCGTTGGCGATTCGATTTCTTCGTCAGGAACCGGTGATGATGAAAATTGCTTCATGATGGCGATGCTCCGTGAGGATACGGAGTTTTTACCTCCGGCACCATCTAGAGCAACGTTTGCGATTGTCGCTGTTGATGAAAGAGGTTGGTTCTGGCCGGCAAGGGTTCGAAGGGCCGGTAACAGCTGAATCTTGGCATGCTCGGAAGCGAGAGCGATAGAAGCCATGGAACAGTCCAAGGGGTGGAAGTTGGACGCAACCCTCGGCCCCACGAAATTCTGGAGCACCTTTAGCCACGGCACCTCGTCCACGGTAGCTCTGTGTGACCCCGAAGGCAAGAAGGAAGAGGCTAGGCTTTCAGACGGAACGAAGCGGATGCAAGCACGATACAAGAATCGAATACTGCAGTGCACGAATTAAGTGCAGCTACGGCCTGCTGCCACGGTTTGTCGCTATCCTGCGGTATGCTGGCGACGCTTTTCCACTTGGCCAAAGAAGCTGAGACGGAAAGCATATTTTGTACAATTACCTCATGACGTTTTTTTCGCCGTCGTACACCAGAGTCGCCTCGGCAAACAGCTGGGTCGCCAAAGCTTCCTCGACCGCCTCGCAACAAGCCTTGTGGTCGATCGTATCGTCGTAGTCATTGTTGTCAACGCTAAGTTCGTCGGTCATCCGCGTCGGGCAGAGCAAGCTTGGTAACCAAGCTCGAAGACTGACGTTGGCCAGAGTAGCTCGGAGACCTTTCGCGCTCTTTGGGACATCGGTATAGGTTGTCGTGGGGGTCTGCGGGCAGTCGTTCGCAACGCTCAAAACATCAGTTAATCCCCTTCGGTTTGTCCTCTTGTTTCCTCTCTACCCCGGAGAGGGCTAGAACTTCCTCTCTCGAGGGTCGGGCGGGAAATCCGGCGCATCGTCTCGATACACTTCTGTGTATGTGTCGGTTCCACGAACCAGAACTTGCCAATAAAGACAGGGTTCGAAGTCACCGCGGAACCATGGCAACGAGCGCGTTCGTTCACCGTTTCTACAGAGGTAACACGTTGAAGTCATCGTGGTGGTATATGTTTTCACAGTGCAACTTGGTTGTCTCTTGTTGCATCAGGATGTGCCAGGAATGGTCAGCATCGTGACGCCTGCAAGTGCTCAATCGACGTCGTGCTTGCGGGCAGCATTTGAATGTAAGGCCTTACCCTCCCAGCTGTCGGAGTGGAGTGGCTGCGGTGTCCAAATCATCTACATACAGCGCATCCGCGCCAACCTCGAGTACGTCGGCTCGATGAGTAATGGATCGTACGATGTTATGTACTTGTATGGATAATACGTGCTGCTGTATGTACCTTTCAACACCTTCGACTCGCTTGTGTAGGATAAGCACTGCTGTCTGTAGTACAGTAAGTCCTTCTCACTTGAACCTGTGCCAGAGCGATGACGACACCGAAACACATCTATTCGATAAAGTTACACCATTCGACTAGTCAGCAAACTTTATCGAATAAAAGATGTGTTCAGAGCACATTTGCACCCAGCAGGATCACATTTTGGGTTGTATGGCTTATTCTAATCACTGGGATTGAGAGTGTGGATCTCCGGGGATGGACCCCTCGCCAGACGTTACCTGAAAAGAATTGAATGTTGCTTGGGAAAATGAACAGTCGGGCTTCGGGCCCGTGCGTGAATCATGTACCGACATATGTCATACCATTAGAAAAGTCAGCCAAGTGACCAGTCGGGTTTCAAACCCGTGCGTGAATCCTTCATCACCATATTGTCTCCCCAAAACCAAATTATATATGTCACATGGACGCATCCCCGGGAGGCGTCATAGCACACCGTTTGTGCAGATATATAATGCTCAAGCAGTCAAACACAAACAATTAGCCTTTTTAATCCATTAGTCGAGGCAAGTCAGCGGGGCGGCCCAGAACCAGCACCATAAGTATTTCTAGCAGCGTCTGGCGAGGGGTCCGTCCCAGGAGATCTCTACTCACTCACTATCCCAACATGTGATCCTGCCGGGAGCAAATGAGCTCTAAACATATCTTTTATTCGATAAAGTTACACCATTAGACTAGTCTAGACTAGACTAGTCAGCGCTGACTAGTCAAAGTGGTGTAACTTTATCGAATAACATCTACTGCTGTAGACGAGACATCACCTTGGCGCAGAAAAGGCCGACAGCCTCCTGGTAGTTATGCTCGAGCATCGAGCAGGTATATCCTTGCTCCCGGGCTGCTTGCAGGTACGAGCGTCGATCCTCCGTCGTTTGGTATTCCCTGAAGAAGGAAACAAACCGTTCGCCTTCGAAAGCAGCGCTCGGCGCGATGAACCGCACGTCGATGTTACCGCGGCTCTGACCTAAAGAAATGATCAGCAGCAAGATAGCCGGATGAGTGGAAATGACACCCATGCTCTATGTACCCCCGGTGCCGCGAAGAAGTATGTGGATCTACGTGCACTGGAAAGATTCCGCTGCCGGTTGTTGGATACTTAGTCTACACTCGTAGCAGAGTAAAGATGGTTGAATATGGGACATGGATCTACGGAGATTGCAATTGGTAGATTGCGGAGGAACAGGGAGTTTCTACGTGGTTTCTTCGCACATTCGATGAGTGATCTGAATTGCGTGACGGATGGGTGTTGTGAGTTTCTCTTCGGTTCCTTGGACACGAGTTTGTTGTTGTTGTTTGTTTCTCTCCCATCATTGGACTCTGTCGTCTGCCCCTCTGGCCCCTATCCTCCACTTCTACTGGCTAGACGACCCAACCGGGGTCACATAGGAGGGGGGGGTTGGACCCCCCTCCTGCGGTTCATGCCTGAGGTATTTTTATCGCGAGAAGGGTACAGCAATCCCTTCCCTCGCGACTTACGAAGTCGATTAGTCTATGGTTTACTAACAAACGAGCTTTGCAGCGCGTCGCTTTCATCCTAGACCAGGATATATTTAACGAGAAAAAAACTCTCCCTGCCGGGACTCGAACCCATGACCTGGCCCTTAGCACAGGCTGCGAGGCTACCCACTAGACCACCGGGTGTTCTCTGCTGTCCCCTCTTCCCTCTAATACAAGACTGTCTGATCTCGGCCCTCACTGGCCGAGCTGCCTTTCTCCATAAATCTACAAGCTTCGGCCTATCCGGTTTACCCAACACCGTTACAGCGTATCCTGTGTCAGTGCTGCACGGCTGAAAAAAAAAATGGCGAAGGAACAAAAACGATCGGTTTACACAGAAGAGCATCGTGACAGGCGTACATCCACCCAAGACTGAAGGCTCGCAGCGGTAGACTATTCCAGCAGCTATCTAGGGAACCATTTTTGCCAAATTCCGTCCACTGTAGGCTTAAAACTTGGCGGCGCAACTCGCAGCCTCCCACCCAACTTCCCATTCTTCCCCTCGCTGCCTCGGGAAGGTTTTGCGTAGGCATGACCCATAGCGAGGGGGGGTCTTTCTAGCGAGCAGGGCTAGACTCACCCTCAAGGGACCGATACCTTCTTGCTGCGGCGCACCCGCCGCGAGGCGTGCGTAGTGGTGGAGTTGGGTCGGCACTGGTGCGTCAGGTACAAAGGTGCAGATAGATGCGCGGGCCTCCAGGCCGTCAGTGTAGGAAGCAATGCCCATCTCATCTTCTTTGTGCGCGGAGGCAGACGTCATCAGAAAGAGGGTGGACGGGCACTATGTACACGGCTCTAGGTTTGCTAGAGGGGGCTGTACTGCTCAGTAACCTGGTTTTGCCATCAAAGGAGGAGGGGACAGATGGTGACGAGCTGATTGGGCTGGTTGACCCTCCGGCGCGAGAATTTTCAGNGATGCGCGGGCCTCCAGGCCGTCAGTGTAGGAAGCAATGCCCATCTCATCTTCTTTGTGCGCGGAGGCAGACGTCATCAGAAAGAGGGTGGACGGGCACTATGTACACGGCTCTAGGTTTGCTAGAGGGGGCTGTACTGCTCAGTAACCTGGTTTTGCCATCAAAGGAGGAGGGGACAGATGGTGACGAGCTGATTGGGCTGGTTGACCCTCCGGCGCGAGAATTTTCAGACCAAGAACCCTAAGTGCAACGAGGGAGAAAGCGAGGAACCGACTGGGAAGGACAGTAACGAGAGNGGAGCAGCGGAGCCGGAGCATGCGGACGGCATCGAACCGTGGCGCACTGACAAACATCTCTTCTTATGTTGTCAAATATTTTCCGTTCTTTTCCTGAAAAAAAACAGGTGTTGGGTGTGTGTGATGACGTCACTGGTTTTGTAGAGAGAC